ATCTGGCCATATTGGGGAAAAAAAGAGTTGAGGTGGAACATTTGGGGGCAAACAGACCAATTAGGAGACTCTTGCCATCATCGACGTGGGAGATGATGATGACCTTGTTTAGGGAAGTGACTGTAGGGATGAAAAAGTACAAGAGAACTGGAAAGAGAACCATAAAGAAAGGGACATTCCAATATATGGTAGGGTTAACACACAGCCCCTTTGCCACTTAACTAAAAACTATCTTCAAGGATTCAGAAAGTCTTCTTATCATCCTTACGCTAGCTTCAAGGGGACTTCTTCATAGGCTTACACAGAAGGCTGAAGATAAAGTGGTCCCTTGTCATTTAAAGGGCATCTTTTCTTTTGAAAAGCTTAGGCCTTCTCTAAACCTTGAAATTACATTATTTTGGCTCTAGCAAATGCCTGATGTGAGTCCTTCCAGAGGGGATTGTTAATGTCAGTTTGGTTCTCTGAATTATTGATGAGTTACAGAGTTTGTAGAATTAATGAGCTTTAGTGGTGGGTAAGGATGGGCATTTTGCTTTAAGAAAGTCAGCAAGTCACCCCAGAGGAGGCTTCCTCTTCCTGGCTAATGGGGGTGTGATTACTCCAGAAGCAAACTCCTGGCTGAAAGCAAACCTCATTTAACCCACAGGTACTCAGAGTCCCTCTGAAACCCCGAAACCGGTAGGACAGTGCAGACCCCCAGGGTATAACTTGGTCCATTTGAAGAAACTAACGGTATTTAAAGTGTTCCTATGATTTCACAGATAGAGCTTCCCCTCCCCGAGAACGCACGCCAAACAGCACAGAACGTGTTCACTCGGCATCGTGGGCTAAGCCGAGCTCACTGGAGCAGGGATTCCCAAAGAGGGCTTTGTGGAATGGAATATTCCACATTATTATAAGTGGTTATAGGGGAAAGAAGATTCTGAGGTCAAATTGGAAAATGTCCTGATAATCAAATAAGCAAGTTTCTTTATTGTCAGACCCTCAGAGCCTTTAACGTATTAATGTTCAGTGTGACTTTCTACAATGAGATTATAGCATAAAACGTTTTCCAAACTTACTTGACTGCAGAAGCTTGTTTTTGAGGACCTCATAGAACTGGCATTCTGCAAAATTCACTTTGAGAAATATTGTTTGAGAGTATGAGACCCATTGTAAGTCCTTCCTGGAACAAAGCAAGGTGTAGGTAAATAGAATATGAAATTATCGAGGGCAGAGAGAATTAACACACACCTGCCTGGCATCCAGTAGGTGCTGAGTAAAGTTTGCTGAAGTTAAGAACAGTATCATCAAAATTACAGTTGTTTTGACCCTCTCAAATGGGTCGGTTGTACTGGAAGGACCTAACGCATCATCTCATCTGAACCTTCATTTTATAGATAAGAAAATTGAGGCCAAAAGAGGAAAAGTAACTTTGCAGAGATCTCACAAGTTAGGCAGCAGGTACCAGAACCTAGGTCTCTTGTCTCATTCATTGATTCAACAAATACCCTTTGAGTACCTGCTATGTGCGAGGCACTGGGTTAAAGCCAACATTGCCTTTATGGAGTTTATATTCTAATGGAGGGAATAAGACATTAAACTAATTGCAAAACTAGTAATTTATGTATACTTGGGACACTTGCTTCCAAGGAGGACAGAGCACTAGGAAAGCATGAAGCGGTGGGCCTGGGCTGGGACTCGTGGCCTTGAACCCATCTTGCTGCCTCCCACTGAGCTGCATGTTGACCCCCATGACCACGTTGCTGGGCTCGTCTTAGCTGTCTTTGGCAGTGTTTGTATTATGAGAACCATAGCTCTTGACCCAAACATTGATACAGCTGGAACTGGCAAAGGTTATTTTCTGATTTGTGAATTTCTTAGTGAAGTTATACAATATTAAGACAAATCAATTCAATAATAATAATAATAGCACCTATCATTTATTGAATGCCTACTTACGTTACCTACCCTGCTAAATAATTAACATACATTATTTCCTTAATCTTCTCAGCAACTCTTTGAATTAGGTATTACCTCCATTTTACAGATGACAGTACTGAGGCAGAGAGAGTTAAATAATTTGCCAGTCATCCCATGGGTAGTAACTAAAAAGGTAGTATGGGGATTTGAATTGAGGTCTGCCCAGTTCCAAAGTCCACATTGTGTTACAACACATGGTTTTAATTTACAATTTAGGATTAAATGGTGTGAAATTGGAACTGCCTTAGAAAACCAGGATCTGAAAGAATAACAAAAAGTTATTTAATTTAAAAGTAATACGCGTGAAGTGTCTAGCAGAGTGGCAAGCCATGGTAGGCCCTCAGCAGATGGCAACTGTCATGGTATCACTGTCCTGAAGCCTCTAAACCAGCAGGTGGCAAACTACAGGACACAGACCAAATCTGGCCCATCACCTGTTTTTGTAAATAAAGTTTTATCAAAACACAGCCATCATTCATTTGTAAGTTATGTCTGGCTGCTTTCCCACTACAATACCAGATTTGAATAATTGCAATAGAGACCCTATGGCTCACAAGCCATTTTAGCCATTTAGCCACAAATATTTTAGAATATTTATTATCTGGACCTTCACAGACAAAATTGGCTGCTTTGATCTAGACAAGTGCCTCAGGTTTCTATGTTGCCGTTCTATGAGCCCTATGTGAGGTTTGGGCACAACTCATGATACTGTATGCCTTCTGCTCAAAATAGAAGGTAAAGGTCAGTAGAAGATTCATATACTGTCTTGAAGCTGTAGGTCAGGCTTTGTGCATCATGCACACATTATATTATTTAATCCCCTGCGAAACCCCATTGTATAAGTAGGCTGGGGCTCAAAGAAATTAAATAAGGTCGTAAAAGCCACTGAGTGCTGAACCAGACTGGTAGGGCATCCAGGCTTATATTCTTTGCAGCTGACGGGAGGCTACATCTTGGAGCAAGAGAAAGCAATCTACTACCATTCTTAACCATTGGACTCAACTTCCTTCCTCCAAGACTGATTTCAAATACAAATGGGGCTCCATTGAAAGGCAGTTCCTGCTGGGTGGATAAACATTCAAATGGAACTAGTCAGGGAAAGAAGGGGTCCCTAATTGCTTGGACCGGGAAGGGTGGCTGGTGTTGGGAGCCGGGTCCGATGCCTGGCTGATCACCTGCATGCCACAGTACAGTTCCTGAGCTTGTACGCCTGCTGTCCCGGTCACCTGTGGGGGAGCCATGCTGGTGGCTTCCCACCCTTCCCAACAGGCTTCTGCTGTGCAAGGACCAGAGTCCACATTTGCTTCTAAACTTCTGCAAGGATCCCTCCTAGGCTTGGAGTGCACAGTCAATAACTGTTTCTTCCTTTGAGTGACAAACACGGTGGCCAGAGTGATTGATTGGCTGCTGTCTGAACATCTCAAATACAAATGAACATGTTCCTTTCTTTTACTTTGTAATAAAAGTCAACTATCAACAGGCCTTGAAACACTAAAGTTTTATATTCTAATTGATGGGTCAGTCGGGGTGTCCCCGCCTCAGCCTACGTCTTGTATGGGACAGCTCCATTCACACTGGTCCCATTTAAGAATAAGGGGTCAATTTTCAGTTATTTTGTGGCAGAAGATTTACTTTGTAGCCATATTTGTAGCAGTTTGCTGCTTATAACAATAAATTAAGTCTTATAGATGACTTTGACGTCCGTACCCTTCCCTAAGACTGAGCAGGGCCAGAGAGAAGACACAGAAGGCAGGCCAGTGAAAGGTGTTTTTTGAAAGCCGCTCTGAGGAAGGAGTTGACAGGTGTTAAAATGAAGACTTGAATGAAAACCAAGGGCCAAATAGAAGCTGAAGGGAACCATGTAACTTAACAGATTCTCAGACATAGATTTCTGAGCCATGACCTCAGAGAGAAGGGTTTAAAAGGGTAGTAATAAAAAACCTGTAAATCTGCTTGACTAGTAAGGATAACTCCCTACCTTATGATATGGGCAAAACGGAACCACGGCAGAATCTAAACATCGCCTGACCCTTCCTGATGCAATCACCCAAGCTTCTCTCAGACAGATGGCCACTCCCGTATCAGGTTCCCACCAGATTTTGTACATCTCCCCGAGGGCATTTAGCAGTGAAATATTTTGCTTATACAAATCTGTCTCGTCTGATAGGCTGCATGCTCTTCAAGAATAAGAAGTAGGTCTTATTCATCTCTGTACCTCCAGTGCTAGCCCAGAGAAGGTGCTTGATAAAAGGCAGGCACGTGAATGTACAGATGAACAAAATCAGGGAAGGGCAGCCTGCCTGTACCTGCGTTTGCAATCCCAGACAGCCCTAGCTAGTCTCTCTCATGGCAGTCGTCGGGGTCTTCTGCGTGTAGAACCCTCTTCCTAGTGGTGATACATAAGATGGGAAGGAGAAGACCCAAGGGCTCTTCCTCAAAGCAAATGGTTGTTTAGGAGAAAATGGGGCAAAATAAAAGCCTAGGGTCAAGTACAAGTAACAGTACAATGGTAGTTGACCCAGTAACAAGTACTAAAAAGAGGATAGCCCTTCTAAAATGAGACCCAGAAGTGCTGAGGGAACATAAGGAGTAAACGGAGAGGTGAGTCCTTTGTTCCAAACAGCCCCCAGAAACGGGAAAAACACACGAGAGTGAACATGGAGCAGGGATCAGGCAAAAGTTTCCATCGGTCACCTTCTGGCAGGCTCCCATCCACGGGCTCCCCCTTGGGCATCCTGATCACTTTTGAAAGGGGGGACATTCACTGCAGAAGGTGTGAGTTTCAGACCTGTCCCCACCTTCCCAACTGTGCCACCTCCTCACCGGGCGGCCTTAGCAAGTCCTTCCACCTGGGAGTCTCGGTAGCACCCTCGGCAACGTGGCGCTTCCCAGCGATCCCAGCCTCCCTGGGTGCTGAGGGCATCGGCATGCTGGTGGACGTGAGCGCGTTTCCCGAGCAGGCAGGAAGAGCGTGAGTGTGTGTGACCGCAGGTGGCTGTGGGCGAGCAGACCTCGATGCCGTATGCTTTGCCTTGCAGAGGGTTGCCCTGGCTTGTGCAATGGCAACGGCAGATGTACCCTGGACCTGAATGGCTGGCACTGCGTCTGCCAGCTGGGCTGGAGAGGAGCAGGTTGTGACACATCCATGGAAACCGCCTGTGGTGACAGCAAAGACAACGATGGAGGTAGGGCTCCGGCACCTGGGGACGCCATGCAGCTCGGGCGGGGGTCGGGCAGGGGCCCAGGGCGGCGGGCGGGCATAAAACTGCACGTGTGGTCAAAGGAATGAGTACATGTCTCTAGTTGTTCCATCTCAATTAATTTAAATGAACTAATGGAAATGAAATTAATGGCCATCTGACAGCCAGCGGAGGGGAGAAGCCATATGGAAGAAAGAATTTTCTAGCAATTCAATAGTGGGATGGGTTACCTGGCAAAGTTACACAATCCCCCTCACTGGAAATGGACAAGAAGAGGCCCGTCCAGTTTTGTATTACAGAAAGTGGCAGAAAGGATGCTTCTCCAGCGGAGGGAGGTTGAGTTACCTTTGGTTGAGATGCCTTCTCCCCTGATTCTGGTAGTAACCCCCAACAAGCCACCTTTGCCCCCACACCCTCTGTCCCTGTGGGTTTGTAATAGAATTGGTCTTAGTTAATAGGTTTTTTTCAAGTGCTGCACAGTCCAGACCCTAAGGAAGAGAGGCCTAGTCTTGTGGAACATTTCTCAGCTGAGAGAGAAGAGACCAGGGTTCTAATCCCTATCAATCCCCTGTGTATCCCTAAGCAAGTTACTTGATGTCTCTGGGCCTCACACTTCCTATTTATGAAATGCGGCAGTTGGATCATGAGGACCATTCCAATCCTTATATTGGTCCTAGCATTAACCTTCTTTCTTCTGTTGTGTCACTTGGATAAATATAATCACGATGTGCTCTACTATCCCTCTTAGAAGATGGGTTGATCCTTCTTAACTCTCCTAATCTCAGAGGGTTAGTAGGAGAGATTAAAAAGATAGAGAAATGAAAAAAATTCTTGTGCTCCATAAATATCCAGAGTTCCTCCTATGGGGCCAGGCCCTAGGCCAGGCACAGCGATGACAGAGTCCCTTCACCCTTACACGCCTCCAGATGTCACCAGAGCGCTGGCTGGCGAGGGACCAGCAAAGCCGGCAGGCAGAGAAAGACCCTGACCCACCTGACAAGAAGATGTTCCTTCTTCGTGTAGTTCGGTCCATGAAACCGCTCCTGAAATGCTGTCACACGTCTTCTCAGCTGTGACATAGTGACCCTCTGATGGGGTGTGTCTGTCTCATGCCCATTTCAGAGATGGGGAAACTGTGGCCCAAGCATGCAAAGTGGCTGTAAAGTGAGAATAAGAATGCTTGCCCTGCAGGGTCGCCGTGAGGATGGCAGGTGCACTCAACGTGCCTGAAAGGCAGCTCAGCACAGCGATGAAAAGTGCGGGATCTCTACCCAGACGGCTGGGATTTAAACCCCGGCTCTCCCATGTGCTGACTGCAGGCCCCTGAGTGGGCTCTTCAACTTCTCTAAGCCTCAGTCCCTCACCTGCAAATGTCAGTTCCCGTTGTCCTGCGCCTTACTACCTGTAAGCACAGAAGCTTGATATTTATGATAAAAATAAATATATACCCATATATAAATCATTATTTTTAAAAATTGGAATTATGCTCTCTATGAAATTTTACACTCTATTTCACTTCAGATTATAATGTGTTTCTCCATATAATAATGTATTTTGACCTTTTTCATCTCTTGATTAAAATTTGTGTCCCAAACTGTTCCATGCTCCTTGCTAGAAGGGAAATAATTCAAGTGTACAAGGAAAGTAAGAGCCATAGTTTAGAGATCATCCCCTGGTGCCAGGCACTGTGCTGGGCGCTCTGTGGACGTGATGTCCAGCCCTTCACAACAGACATGCAGGGCAGACATTTCCATGGGGGGAAACTGAGGCTGGGTGAGCTGAAGACATTTGCCCAGTGTCAGCAGTGGGATCAGCAGGAGAGCTAGGGTTAGAATGGAATGGGTGTTTGAAAAAAAGAAGCCAGAGTATAAAATTGCCTGGAATCTTAAAACAACCAGTCCCCTTTGGATGAAGGATTTGTAAGCAGCTTCAAGGTGTGATCATCTCTTCAGGCGCTGTCGGTCCCATGAAAAATGATCGTGGATTGCAATACAGATCACTGATAGATGCCACCTGGAAGGAGAAATTGCAGGAGAGCGGAGAACAAAGCTCTCTGCCCTCCCTCCTCCTCCCCATCTCCCATTGCTGGAATGGAGAGCTCCCGTAAAGCCATAGAATTCGGTCACCCTTCAGACTATCTCTAAACCACGTTTCTTGTGATAAGAGATAAGAGAGAAATTGACCTTTAAAAATCCTGTGTTGCAAGGGGCAGATAGAGATTTTGGAAGCCTTTTCAAAGAAGGCACAGAGTTTATTATCGCAAATGACAAAAACTTCTCCCAGATGTGTACGGGGGCAGGGGGGAGGCACACCCCCCATCCCCAGGGCCGCCCTGGGTGCTGCTCACGGGCTGCTGTAAGGCTGTTCTGCAGCCGCAGTAAGACAGGCTTGGTTGCTGGGCTGTGGGGCCCAGGCAGCAGCTAAGCCCACAGGGAGAGAGATGGACGGGTTACACACTGTCCACGGGCCCGTGAGTGTGAGGACCATGCAAACAACTGCAACACAAAGAATTTGCTCGTCCATGAATTTCCCAGACCTGTTCCCATCTCTACTTTTCTCTCCCCAAAGCTACTTTTTCCTCTTAACATACCTCTTCTCAAGTCTGTCACCTCTGCCTACGAAAACGGAAGCATGGAAGTCTCCCTTACTGCAGGCAGCCACATGCCCCGTATCAGGCTACCGGGTGCTGCCTTTGAAAACAGAGGATTTGCACGAAAGCCTGTCTCGTAAACTGCACCTTTGATAAGAATTTTGTGGGCCCCACTCATTTTTGAAACAGGGGCTTCCTTTAATAATGATCATCTCTATTAGCAGAGGTTTAGCCCACATTTACTACTTCGCAAATATTTGCTGAGTCAATGATGAGGGAGCGTCCACCCAGGAAGGCCTAGGTGGACAGAATTGTTGGCCTGGCGTTGTCACTCTGTCCTGTGAAGCGTACCCATGAGCCATTCCACGATCCCAGCACTTTCATGAGAGCCCCGCTTGTGTGAAGTGGCTCCATTTCAGAGAACGCCAATCTTCAGGTCTCCTGGGTCTCCACTTCTGACTTACCGGTGTGTCTCTCAGGCCATCTTTGTCTGGTTCAGTTCTTCAAAGCCAGGCTGTATCCAGAAAGAGCTGCCCTGAAATGTGTGTGGGAGGGAGCCAGGACAGGTCCATTGTGAGGATGCCTGTCCAAGGGAAGCACCCGGCCAAGGAGCTAACAGGGACTCTTGTTTACCAAGCACAGACTTAGGTGCTGGTCATCATGCCAAGTGCTCACATCCGTGATCTCACCTAATCCCCCCAGCCCAGCTGTGAGGCACGTCTGATTGTGCCCTTTGTAGATGGGCCAAATTGGAGCTTAGAGCCCTTGCTGAGACTTTCATTTCCAGCAGAATGGCCAACTAGATCACAAAGGGCCTCTGATCCCAGGAAACAACGATTTGTTTTTAAAATTGATGGCTTAATTTGTTTTTGTTTTTTTTAAGATTTTTTTTTTAATTTATTTTTTGACAGAGAGAGACACAGCAAGAGAGGGAACACAAGCAGGGGGAGTGGGAGAGGGAGAAGCAGGCTTCCCGTGGAGCAGGGAGCCCAATGAGGGGCTCGATCCCAGGACCCCAGGATCATGACCTGAGCCAAAGGCAGACGCTTAATGACTGAGCCACCCAGGCACCCCAGCTTAATTTGTTTTTAAAAAAGGAAAGAAAATAGGAGTGTGGGGAAGCCTGATTTCAGAAGCAAGGATGAAGCCAGAAGCTAGAGGAGGCACAGGGATACTGAGATGAGCTCCATGTCTGGGGAAGGAGAGAGAAAACCAACATTAGAGTGGGGGGAGGGGGAGTGAGTGCTGTGATGGAGTTCACCCAGGGAGCTGGAAGGGCACGGAAGAGAGGTATTTCAGCAAGACTCATAAATTCATGTTTTCCACTTAAGAAATAGTTCCCAGTGGGGCACCTGGGTGGCTCAGTCATTAAGCGTCTGCCTTTGGCTCAGGTCATGATCCCAGGGTCCTGGGATCGAGCCCTGCATCGGACTCCCTGCTCCACGGGAGGACTGCTCCCTCTCCCACTCCCCCTGCTTGTGTTCCCTCTCTCGCTGTGTCTCTTTCTGTCAAATAAATAAATAAAATCTTAAAAAAAAAAAAAAAACCAAAAAAGAAATAGTTCCCAAAAGTCTCTTCAGGACTCAAAGAACCTTTCATACTTCAGAAAGAACTGGGCTCAGATTCCAAGTCACCTCCTTCTCTGACTACACAAACTTGACCAAGTTACTCTACCACTTTGAGCCTACAGTTCCTTCTCTCTAAAATGAGGGTGACGGGGAGCCTGGGCCGCTCAGTTAATTGAGCATCCAACTCTCGAATTCGGCTCCAGTCATGATCTCAGGGTCATGAGATCAAGCTCCGCATCGGGCTCCACGCTCAGCATGGAGTCTGCTTGGGATTCTCTCTCTCTCTCTCAAGTAAATAAATAAATCTTTTTTTAAAATAAAATAAATAACATGTGGGTGATGGTGACAACAGCGGCTACTTCACTGAGCTGGGAAGATTCAATGATGCCTTCCTTGAAAGCATTCTTTGCCAAGCATTTAGCACAATGCCTGTGGTCGTCATCATCATCATTTAATATAATATTAACAATAATAACAGTAATTCCTGGCTAACCTTCCGCCAGGACTAGAGAACAGGGAGCAGTGCTTCCAAGATGCCACAGAGCAAAGTGTTTATAAAGAGGTAGAAGACTGGCTTCCAGGGTCTGCTTCAGTGGTAAACAAGAGCAGGCAATAGCTAATAAAATTTCAAATTAGCCATGACTTTTCACAGCCCTTCAATTGTGCTTGCTGATTTAATGGTCAACGTCCCTGCTCACTGGGATTGAATAATGGAGCATTTCTGCGGAGTTATGGATGCGGCAGCTGAATCTGTCAGGCTAACATCAATAGCAGAATGCAAATAACCCATAGCTTGGGCTGTAATTATGTGTTTAAGCCACATCTGACAGGGGCAGCACGAGAACGTGTGATGGAGCCGCCATCCGCCGGAGGAGACAGGTGCTTCGCTAGGCAGTTAGTAGGCGTATCTGGGCTCTGGTACAGGAGCCATGAGTTAGGACCCGGGACCATGCTGGGGTCAGAAGAGGCCTTTCCTCCACATCTCAAGATGAATCTGGGAGGTGAGCAGACCAAGGACAAATGGCCCTACACTTTGGTGAGCCATGGTGTAGACTCAGGGACAGGAAGGGGGGCCACCTCTTAGGAAGTACTTACTGTGTACCCAGTACTCTGCTAGATTTGGGGACATATACTATGTTTTGTACTTATGTCACAAATACTTATGTGACACTTTTATAATCCCCTTGTAAGACACATGGGGAACGGGGGCCAGAGAGTTTAAGTAACTTGCCCCCAAGTAGTAAGTTTCAGAGCCAGGGTTTGACCCCAGACAGTCTGGGTTCTGGAGTCCAGGCTGTTGAGGCTGCGCTACCCTCAAGGCAGTCATGAAGTCTGGAATGCCATGCAGAAGTAGGCAAGAAAGACAAGGGATTTTTGTCCCCAGTTTACTAAGGGAAAAAGAACGGATTTCAGGGAGGTCAGGTAGCTTACCGGAGGCCAATACATCTGAGGCTAGTAAGGAGGCTTGGGGGGCCGCCTGTGTGGATGGGGCGCCGTATCTGGCTCGGGCTGTGCTGTGCTCTGGTGGGCGGAATCTGTATCGTAAACCCTGGGAGATAGAAGCGAGGGAGGCATGTCAGTGATGAGGAGACTGGGGCTCAGAGAGTGAGAGCAGACATCCGTCCACGGGCATGCTTAGGGGCAGTTCTGGGACCTGAGCTGCAGCCTGAGCCTCATGATGCTCCCACCATACCACACTGTTGAGCTGAAGTGAACGAAGATAGTGGTTTTCTGGCTTTTGTGGACTGTCACTTGGTTTCATCCCCTGATGCATTTGTCAATTCATTCAATTCTCATTCGTGTAGTTACTTCACAGCCATGTTTTAAACTCCTGAACTAAGAGCTGGGGACACAACAGAGGTAACCGGAACAGGATCTAGGTCTCCAGGATGGTGGGGTGCCCAGCTAATAAGCAAGAGAGGCAGAATTTGAACCCAGAGGAACACATGCCCTTAGACTGCTCTCTGCAACAAAGCAAACAGACTGTCACCCTGGGCTGTTCCTGTCCCCCACTCCTGGCTCTTATTGCTCGTAACCCTTAAATTTCCCTCCAAACCACCCACTTCTCCCCACCTCCACTGTTCCTGCTCTGATCTCTTGTGCCCCGTGCAACCTCAGAGACGCCCTCGCTGCCCGCCGCAGGGCCCCCAGCTTCCACTCTGGGCCAGCTTCAGTACCCCCTCCTGGTTACAGGAGAGCTTCTTTCAGTGATGTAGATCAGACGATGTCCCCCTGGCTTTCAACCTTCCAGGAGCTCCCACCGTCCCCATCCTGGGGGTGGTAGGCAAACTCCCTAAGCTGGCCCACGTCCCCGATACTTCTGCTTCCACCAGCACCGACAGTCTCTTCTTGGGCTCGTCCCTCATCTTCTGAGTTGAGCTGAGCAGCTCAGATGTTCAGTATGTTCTCCCACCCCTGGGCCCTCATAGAATTCCTTCTGTCTCTTCGAAAAGAAACAGAAACACCTTATCCCCACCTGTCCCCCTGTACACGGGCTTGTCCGTCTCCCCGACTAGGTGAGTGGGCTAGGAGCAGATCTGAAGCCCCTGGATCTCCCTGCAAAGCCCTTGGCTTATGTCAGGTCCTTAATCAAGTGTCTCAGTGAGTGGAAAATAGAGACGTGAACGAAGGCATTGTGGACAGATGCGGCTGGTAGACTGTAGCGGTATGAACTTAATGCTCTGTCACCCCTGCAGATGGCTTGCTGGACTGCATGGACCCTGACTGTTGCCTCCAGCCCCTCTGCCATGTCAACCCGCTGTGCCTGGGCTCTCCTGACCCTCTGGACATCATCCAGGAGACACAGGCCCCCACGTCCCAGCAGAACCTGCACTCCTTCTACGACCGCATCAAGTTCCTTGTGGGCAGGGACAGCACGCACATCATTCCCGGGGAGAACCCCTTTGATGGAGGGTGAGTCCCCTGGGCCCCAGCCCCTGCCGTGGCTGTCTGCGTGAGAACTGAATCACCTCTTGGGCCACCGTTGGGGTGGTGGGGGTGGGAAGGAAGCCAGAAGGGTGGGCATTGAAGGCTCTCGATGGAATGTCACGGGAGACAGAGAAGCAGCCTCAGGTGCCCACACTTAGAAAACTGCTATCCCAGGCATTTGGAATTTTAATGAGCCAAGTTGTGTTGTTCCCGCTGGGTGATAGATGGAGAGAGTGAGAAATCAAAGGTCCAAGGGGAATCTTGGATCAATACCCTCTTTGCAGTCAGCTCTTACTGATTCTGCCGTCTCCAGACTAGCGGAAACGCTTTAACACTGTTCACCCTCAGAGCCGATGTCCAGAAGACGGTGGGGGGTGGGGTGTAGCGGCTGGCCCCCCAGGCCGTCTGCCTGTGCATTCTTTTTTTTTTTTTTTAAAGATTTTATTTATTTATTTGAGACAGAGAGAATGAGAGAGAGAGAGCACATGAGAGGGGGGAGGGTCAGAGGCAGAAGCAGGCTCCCCGCCGAGCAGGGAGCCCGATGCAGGACTCGATCCAGGGACTCCAGGATCATGACCTGAGCCGAAGGCAGTCGCTTAACCAACTGAGCCACCCAGGCGCCCCTGCCTGTGCATTCTTTCTCAAGTGTTCAGTTGTGTCTGTCACCCACTGGACAGTTGTTCACTGAGGTCCACTCTGTGCGAGGTCCTGTGCTGGAATCACAGAGGTGAATAGGACACGTCCCTGCTCATGGGTCACTCCCAGTCCACTAACGGGACAAAAAAAAAGACCTCCAGGGTGATCCACCAGAACTGTGCCCTCAGGGTACTCTGGGACCGTTGAGGAGGTGCTCCTGCGGAGGGGAAAACCATGACTTAAGGACAGAGTCTTAAAGATGAGAAATGATTGGCTTGGCCAGGGAGGGGAGAGTGTTCCCAGGAGAAAGAATAGCTTGTACAAAGACCAGGGGCTGGAAAGCGCACGGGGCCAGCAAAAGGCCGCTCTCTATTCTCCGCTCCCCCGACTGGGCTCTCGACCCAGGCATAGCATCTGAGAGTGACCTGTAATAATTTCTTTTGAATGTCTTCCAGTGTAGGGATGCCTCTTACATGCAGAGCTTTCTCTAAAGCCAGCACAGTTCAGTTCAGCAGTTACAGATTTTGTCCCTTCTGTGTCCATGACTTCTGTGCCAGAGAGTTCCTGGCCCACGGGGACAACGGGCTTGTGGTGAGGGGTGGGAAGGGGGAAGGCCATCCTCAAGTTCTGTTTGAAGGGGGAGATCAGCAGGGCTCAGGCATCACTTGGGCCTGAGAAACGCAGGAGTCTCTCGCTCAGATGCCTTGGGAGATGGTGTTGCCTTCACCAGGTTGGGGATCCGAGAGCAGCAGGATGGTTGGGAGCCAGGTGATGACCTCCCCCCTGCACAGTAAGGGCAAGGAAGGGAGATTTTGTAGTTCATAAGCTATTCTGGAGCTCACATGGAGGTCAGAGGTGTTGATTTGGGAGCCTTCAACAAGCAAGCAGGAGTCAAAACCAGGAGCACACAACAGTTCGCTTGAGGCGAATGTGTGAGGGGGGGAAGGGCAGGGGCCGCAGAAGGAGCCGCCCTGGGAGGCGAGGCATAACTGGGGATCCAAGGAGAAGGCCCCCCTGTTGGGGCGGGATGGAGCCCGGGTTCGGGCTTCACACCACAGGACTGTGGGGTCCAGAGCACCTGCCTCCCACTGCCCCCATCCCTCCTCACAAGGAGCAAGGACAGGACAGAGAGAGTGAAATGGGGGAGTACTCTGAGCCCAGTGGGCGGGGCGTAACAGGAGTGCGTAAAATCATTCAAACTTTAACCTTTTCAGAGATGAAAGTGCTTTGTAGTCCAAATCTTTCAACTCACCTCAAGAACCTTGAGAACCGCAGAGGTTAAATGACCTTCCCAAATTCACAGGCTAGTCAAGTGGCTGAGCCAGGAGCAGAACTAGAGAGAAGAAAAACCTATTCGTTTATCTTGGTCAGAAATGCTGCTTTTGTCTCTGGGTAGGAAGCTTCCTGCTCTTTTATTCAATTGTGTGACTTTGTATATGCTTGTGGGCCTTCTCATGGCCTATGTTCTTTTAATCAACTGGAGATAGGCATATTATTCCCACCAAGGGTAATATTCCTGGCTCAGCCTTTCTTTACTGGGCCCATTATGGGATCTGATCAGGGTTCTGGCTGGTTGCCTGCCAGTGGGCAGGACCCTTACCGTGCCATCCTGATCGGTGCCAGCAGGGACCACGCCCCCTGCATGTCTTCTGGTGACCCACCAAAGCCTGCTGCTTACATGCCGCAGACCCCTGGGGACCCACACAGGCTTTCGCCACTGTGGCTCCAGCGGGTCTGACTTGCAGGGAACTTGAGAAAGCTGTACCAGGAGAAAGGAACCTTTCGACAGAAGGGGAGAGCATAGGCCTCGGAGTCAGGCCAACTTGTGTTTCCAATTCTGGCTCTGTCACTACCAGGTACATGGCTCTGGACAAGTGGCTTAATATAACACATATGTAAATGTCCATCAACCCTCTAAACTGAGTCCTCCAGGAAAGGACTGCATCTTACTCATTTTAGCACTTAGTAGATGCTCAAAACAAACATGCGTACATATTGCCTTAAACAATGAAGAAATGGAAGGAAGGGAGGGAGGGAGGGAGGGAGGATGGATGGATACATTATCTATTTTACTTAATTTTATACTGAGGATTCAGAGTCAAGGGAGGTTAAATCATCTGCTAAAAATCATATTACAGATGAGTAGCAGAGGCAGGAGGAGAAGTCAGCTCCCAGATCATTGTTTATGTATCTGTCACCTTCAGTTAAACTACAGATGCTTTGAAAGCAGAGACTGTTCATCTCTCCGAACCTATCACACTTAGGGCAAGGCCTGGAATATGGTATTCACTCTACAAATAAATGGATAACAGAAGCTTCTAAATGTTACTGTAAAAATTCCTTTCACCTAAAATGTGCCCAAACCATTATATCCCTGCTCCTTGCTCATCTAGATTTGGAAGAAACAGCGGTCTATCACTACTCAGTATCCCCAAACAGATTTTTATGTTAAAAAAAAAAAAAAAGCCCAAGTGACCAGAAACCTGGAAACATGAGGCATCAAATGCTTTTCTCATTAGACTGCCCAAGGGGTATCCTCTGTCTTGATCTGGGTCTGCAGACCAGTGCTTATTTACGTAGCTGGGATGAAGTGGAACACCTTACCAGGTTTGGGTTGTGGCCTGCCTTCCTATCGTACGAAGGAATGTGGCTTCACAGAAAGTGCCCAGAGTTTGAATTTTGGATTTACCTCCCACCAGCACTGTGTGACCTCAGAGGAAAGGATTAAACCTTTGTGCATGGGCCTCCAATTACAAATGGGCAGTAATAATGACTATTTCATGAATGCCATTGAAAGGGTTAACTGAAATAAAGCACCTAGCACAGGGCTTGGTACTTAGGTGGTCAGTAAATGGTAGCATTTACGGCAGCGGCATGGCCTAGTGAAAATAACACAAGCTTTGGAATCAGATAACTGGACTTATTTTTTTTTAATTTAATTTTATTTTATTTAAATTCAGTTAGTTAACATATAGTGTATTATTAGTTTCAAGGGTAGAGGTCAGTGATTCATCAGCTGCATGTGACACCCAGTGCTCATTACATCACATGCCCTTCTTAATGCGTGACACACAGTTACCCCATCCCCCACCCCCTCCCCTTCAGCAACTCTCAGTTTGTTTCCTAAGATAAAGAGTCTCTTATGTTTTGCCTCCCTCTCTGGTTTCATCTTGTTTTATTTTTCCCTCCCTTCCCCTATGATCCTCTGTTTTGTTTCTTAAGTCCCACATATGAGCAAGATCATATGGTATTTGTCTTTCTCTGATTGACTTCTTTCATTTAGCATAATACCCTCTTGTTCCATCCACGTTGTTGCAAATGGCAAGATGTCATTTTTGATGGCTGAGTAATATTCCATTGTATATAAATGCCACATCTTCTTTATCCATTTATCTCAGACAACTGGATTTAAAGTCTTTTGCATCCACTTTCTGCCTGTGTGACCTTGGGAAATTTCCTTAACCTCTCTGAGCTCCAATTTCTTCATCTGTAAGAGTGGGGTAACAATGTCTACTTTGCAGAGTTGCCATGAGAATTAAATGAAAAAAACAAAGTACCTAAAGTCATCACCTAGTACTGGCCACACCAAAAATGTTTGCTAATTCTATGATGACGATTATGATGATGGAGAAGAAGATGATGATGACGATGGTGATGGTGACGTTGTTAAAAAGAACTTCTAACTCTTTTAATTGGAAGTGCAACTTGATAGTAACGTGTCCTCCAGGGAAGTCCAGCAGCCACCGAGAGAGGAGAGAGCTTTAGACTGTTGAATTCTTATTTGAGGAAAGGAAAAAGCAGCATTGTGCCAGCCAGCTGTCAGCTGGGGTCCTTGTTAGGGAGGAATGGCACTCCTCCAGAGAGTGGGGTTTCTGATGAGCAGGCAGACCTGACTTGGTGCCTGTGCCTGACAGAAAAACCCACATTCTCCTGCACCCCATATGCTGTAGCACAACTCGTATGGTCTGCACAGGAGTCCATTTAACAGGCCTCACGATGCCGGCTGTCACCCAGGGACACGGCAGCATTTCTGAGCCCAGCAAGGATGGGCAGCCCCAGAGGTGCCTTCCTGCATGCCGCAGGCTCCCAGCTGTGTGTCTGACTCAGGGAGGCCTGACCCCAGGGCTGGGATGAAGAAGCAGGAGGCTCTCAGGTCCACCAATGACACCAGGAATTCTATGGAGAGCTTCTTATGCTTCTGTGCAGCACCCCAGCTGGCGCCCAAGGTCCTGGAGCGGGGGTGGCTCTCAGAGAAGGAGGGGCAGCAGGGCTTCAGGATGTGAGGGCCCCTGCCAAGCATGGTAGGCTCTAGGCTGGGCTGGACTCCTTGGAGGAGAGCACAGAGCTTG